CCCCCCGGTATAATAGGGACACTACTCGTGATGTTAATAGCCGGCAATGACAGCTACCTTAATTTAGGTCACGGCTCTGACCCTTGCTACAGGTAGAGTGAGGAGTTACCGCTGCAGAGATGAACCCGTTGGAGAACGAGGAATAAACCAGCACATTAAAAAAGATTACTCAAAAATACTGCCAGCAATCCGTATCGGCCCGACGGCCTGCACCGACACGGTATGCCCTCTGGCCTACGGACACGGCATCCCCCCCCCGGAGCCTTAAAGCAAAAATGTGATGAACAACATGTCTATACACCTTCATATCAGCAGTTACCAGCTATCCTGGGTCCCAGAACTGCAGTCCCTCGGGATTATTTATCTAGGCAGGGTTTCCAAACGCAGCAGAGGTGCGAATACATTTTTTGAAAGCTTTGATTGCCGTTAAGTATTGCATTAAAAAAATACCCCCGGGAACGAGAAGCCCCACTTGAAAGGTCTCGGTAGGATTGCCGGAGACGTGGGAGTTCATTAAGTGGCGCTAACCGAGTCTGCGGCGTCGGCTGGGAGAACCGGAGTGCGGACGGTCCCTCGGGCGGGTACCTGGGAAATCAGCCGGGAATTTTTTGGCCTTGGATCGGTATCGGCAGGACCCGGCCTGGTACCTAGGAGCGCTCCGGGTCGGGCAGGGCACTGGCACCGGCTCCCTGCCCTCAGCCCGGCTGGCTTTTACCCCGCTCCCCCGGAGGAGGCAGGAGGGATGCTCAGCCGGACGAGAGTTCCCGCCGTCGCTTATAGAAAAGGTTACTGAAAATGTCAGCCCCTCCGGGGACCGGGTCCGGGGTTTTCGGGAGCGTTTCCCACCGAGCCACCCGGGAGCTTCGGTGGAGGGAGGACCTCAAGCTCAGGATGATGTGGTGGGGCATGCTCGGTAGGGAAAAGACCTGCGTTTCGTGTGCTTGGCTTTTTATTTTTGAGAGTGCCATAATTGTTGAAATAGTAGCTATCGATCGCGCCATTTCTTCCTAAAAAGAGTTAATGTTTAAAGCTGCAGTCTGCTTAATACTAGGGAGAGTGTGCAGGTTGGATCCCCACTTAAATTCCTGATAACCGTCGAAAGCACCGAAGAGTCCCTAAAATGCTGTCGGACCGACGGAGATGTTCACCCACTTTCCACTCTCAGACCACGTATTCATCAAATCTTTGTCCTTCGGCGTATCAATTAGGTTACCTGTAATACGAAGTATCAGACCATGGCTGGTATATTTGATGTTAGAATAAAGAAGCACTGAAAACTCAAAAAAGTGAATTATTTTGAGACGGGTAAGGAAAGACCTTCCTTGTACAGGGCCCTGGTCAAGGCCACAGCTGCAGGCAGAAAGGATCTACCGCCCAAGATTTATCTTCAATTTTCTTTAGGGTGTAGCTATGGGCCTGGTT